CCTGCTCTGCTGTCTCCTCGATCATCTTAGGACCGAGTACTCGTCGCTCTCCGACGTCGTCCCAATAGAGAGGGGAACGACATTTGCGACCGTAAAGTGCCTCGTAAGGAGTCATCTGAATAGAGAAATGATAACTGTTGTTATACGCGAACTCTGCGTACGGCAACAGCGACTCCCACTTGGCACCCCTGTCAACAACCAAGGCGCGGAGCATGTCCTCAAGTGTCTGAATCGTCCGCTCTGACTGATCGTCCGTCTCCGGATGGTAGGCTAAACTGAACTTAAGCTTGGTGCTCATCGCCTCATGTAAGCTATGCCAGAATCGGCTAACGAGTCTGGGATCTCGATCTGATACAATCGTGACGGGCACTCCGTGGAGTCTGATGATCCCACGGGTGTATATCTTAGCCAACTTGTCCAGAGACATCCTCTTCGAAACGGGTAAGAAGTGCGCCACCTTCGTCAGTCTGTCGACCACGACCCGGATAGCGTCGTGATGTTCAGCCGACCTCGACAATCCCGTAACGAAATCCATAGTAACTTCCTCCCATTTCCACCGCGAAATCGGCAGTGGCTGTAGGAGGCCAATCGGACTCTGATGTTCGGCCTTGACTTGTTGACAGGTAAGACATCGCCTAACGAATTCTGCGACGTCTTTCTTCATGCCTCTCCACCAAAACGACCCCCTTCAGGTCGTGGTACATCTTCGTGCTCTCGGGATGGGCCAAGTAAGGTGCGGTATGTGCCTCTGATAGAATCTCCTTCCGCAATGACTCGGCCTTCGGGACCACGATTCTGCCTCTGAACTCCTAGGCACCATCGGCGCCTAGCTGAAAATTCTGTACTCCTTCGGCGGGAACCTTGGCCTCCATGACACGTACAAACTCGTCAGAAGCCTGCTCTCGCCGGATCCTTTCCCTTAGTGTCGGCTGAAGCTGCATAGCACTGACACTGGCACTAGTGCTCCCCGAGACAGCTGTGGGGAGTGCATCAATCGCCTGAAGCTGCATCCGGGCGAACTCATGGATTAATGGACTTTGCTGCGTGATGACGTACGTCAAGTCTCCCGTCACCTTTCGGCTTAGGGCATCTGCGACGACATTCGCCTTCCCCGGATGATATTGAATAGAACAATCGTAATCCTTGACCAACTCGAGCCAACGGCGCTGCCTCATATTAAGCTCCTTCTGAGTAAAGATGTACTGTAGGCTCTTGTGCTCTGTGAATATCTCACAGCGTCCGCCGTAAAGATAATGACGCCAGATCTTCAGGGCGTGAACGACTGCGGCTAACTCTAAGTCGTGCGTAGGGTAGTTCTGCTCATGGGCTTAAGCTATCGTGAAACGTACGCAACGACCCGTCCGTCTTTCATAAGGACACATCCCAAGCCCTATCTCGAAGCATTGCTGTAGATAGTGAAACTCCGAGAAGGATCGGGAATCCTCAATGCTGGTGCTCAAGTTAATCTCTTCATGAGCTTCTCGGATCAGTAAAATTGAGGTGTACAGCTTAACTTAAAGCTTATACTTACTGATTGCTTGACTAGAAAATTCAGTAATTTAATACTGAATAAGAGACTTGATCTGAATCGAAGATTCTTTAATTCACAATTAAGTGAATTGTAGAATACTGTTGACTGAAAATGGACACTTTCTGAAAGAAAGTGTTCCACTGATAGGACATGGTTTCAAAACGAAACTCTGAAATATGTTGGTCTTCCTCTCCTAGTTGCTGGCGGATCTTCGATCGGAATGCTGGTGGTAAAGACTTTCTCTGCAATCTCCCCGTGTACTGAGACTCAGTCATGGCATCCTTCAATGGAAAGCGTCAGGTTATCATCATGGCACGATCCGTTGTTGTCGATTGGCTCTTCTCCATCGCGGCGAATATCAACCTGTAGTACCTGCAACTTTTTACTCCCTCCGAGGTTGCACTTAACCTCAAGAAGAAGTCCCTAATGACTTAATATCTCCCACGATTTCTCAGATTCTTCAGAATTTGAGAATCGGGGCGCTGACATACTGAAAATGGTGGATAAGTCTTGTCTTACCAGACAGACCATCCTCGATCTTGTCATGACTGACCTGAATACTTTCACGGCTGAAAAATCATGACTTGACTCTCGCATGGCTGAATCATCTATGTTCAAACTCTGAAACTATCCCGAGACAACTTAAATAGGTTCTTCAGGACTGAAAATGTGATATTTACTGACTTACTTGACTTGATAAGGTACGACTTCAAGTTTC